TTCACATCTGCATATTTATCCACTCATTTGCACCATGGTACGCCATCCCAAGGTCATTCATCTAACACATTCTGTCTGTTTGTCAAATCTAGAACAACATAGTGTCCTATCTGTGTCACATATCGCATTGTTAACAGCTTCACACAACAGTGTTATTGTCTTATACACGATTTTCCTCTTTTTGACATGATTTAGCAGACTAGATACATTCTCCATTGTTTTTAGTGTTGTTCCCCCTTCCAGATGTCCAGAGATTCCTTAACTACTGTGCTCACACTGTCCTCCACTCTAACTACCCGTTTAAGCAAAGCAATGAGAAAAGGGTTCCTCAACCAAATCTGTAGAGCAGCTGCTGCAATGTCTCGAATACAGCATTCACACGTTGGCAACAAACCAAGACCGCGTAGTACATACTTTTGAGCATCAGCGAAATGTTTGTTAAAAAGCTTTTGCATAATTTCTCTCTTATGTTGCTCCATTCGTCTGTATAAGCGCAGTACACACCTGTTTGTATAGCTTTTTGTTGCAGGATATCGTATAAATAATAAGCTACAGTTACCTGTATAATACCGCTAGCAGTAGTGTTAGGAGATGTGTCCTTGTCGCAACAATCCAGTGTCCAAACAGGCACCCTTAAACGGCTTGACCCTGCTCTTGGACTCTTCTGCTTTTTCTTCAGGAACGAGAAATGTTAAATTTCTTTTCCCCAGTTCTTTGCCACAGTCATCCATCCATGAGTTATCATCGTCCCGTAGTACTGGAAAATATTTAGGGCTGCTCGATAGATCCTCACCCGCTGCACATATCTTCGTACCTGCACAAAACATTTTAATTAGAACAATGTCACCGTCAGCCCCGTCGTGGAGGTCTTTGAGGTTGTATGCGGTGTTGTTTGTTGTTCATCTTGCATGACCTCAGGACCAAAAAATTTTCTTTTAATCCCTATATAGCTAACATAAGTTTTATACCATATGAAAAATTTATCAATGTGTGAGAAGATTTCAAGGGTTTTATGCCATTCTCCCCATTAGACCACAAAACCGGTGCTGAACCACATCACCCACTCTTTAGACGTGATGGGGTAGCCTTTTTGTTGCTCTGGGGTTCCCATCCTTGCCTTTTGAATGATAGAATCGTCCTTGCACGATCTAAAAAAGATGTAGGATTCTGGGTCGTAGACTTCAAGGTCTGTCTCTACACGGTAGAGCTCTCCTGGCACACAGCCGCACCATTGTGCGGTATAAACTCCTTTTGAAGCACTCATATCTTTACAGACTTTGTTTCTGAAGTAATTCCAGTCTTTGGCTAAGAAACTAATGTGCGGTGTGCTTTCACAAAGAAAAATTTCATCAAGCTCTCTTGTATAAAGATGAAACGATCCGTACTCAAACAAGAATCCCGACATTCTAAAATCTTCCACCGCTCATTCAAACTGAGGTGCCCATGCCTTTCGGTCCAGAAAATCAGCCAATGTTGTTGGGAGAGTCTTCTTTCTAGGAGCCATACTCATTGCAACAGGATCTACAATTATACGTCGTTTTGGAGTCGTTACTCCTAATTGATTACCTGTGACGTCCATGATTGTGATGCTGCAAAGATGGCGCTGTTGTTCTGAACGAGCTCTTTCCGATACAGATTTACCCAAAAATCAGTCACACTGTTCCACGCTCTCGGTCAGATGTAAGTCAAAAAACTAGCCCGCTATATATACAACCGATTGCTAAAGCCACTCCCAAACATCCGCTTTTAGAGGATAACACCGGACATCCCATATACACAAACCCCCCTTTTCACACCTGTCTTCGACACCCACCCCCGCTAAAAGAGGATGAGGCCGGACACGCCCTAATACAAACACCCAATTTCACACCCCCATGTCTTTGTTGTTCAACCTTGCTATGACCCCAATCTTTTTTTTTTTTCATAATTTTTTTTTCATTAATATTTTTTTTTTAATTATTATTATTATTTTTTATATAATTTTTTATAAAATTTTTATTAATTCGTTTTTTAATACTAAATTTTTTTTAAACAAAAATGTATTCACGCGCACGACTGTTATGCACATCATGTGCGTTCACATGCACGCGCTTTGCTGGCCTTTATTTACTACTCAAAGTTACTTCTGGACTGAAATCTAAAGCGTTACCCAACATTTTTAATTTGCAATTATGGATATTTAGTCCCACAGTGGGTTAGTATATCCAGCTATGGATGAAAATCTGGACAGCACATGCAACAGTTAAGTTGCTTTTTTAGCCTTGTCTTGAAGGAATTCTGGGAAGTGCAAAAACAAGCTTTATCGCTAAATACCATGTGATGACTGCCTACTGTTTTTTACTTATTCATAAACAAAATGACAACCAACACCTTTACCAAAAAACAATAAGTACTTAACAGGTGTGTATGTATTTGTGGTTGGGTGCACGTGTGTGAATTGGTATGTACAGTTTTTATAGTTCTTACTTAAATGTGTATCCTATTAATATTTTCTTTTGTATCATTATTATTATTAACTTATTTTATTGAAAGAAAGCCCGCTCAGGTAGTGCACCTGATTTCACTGTATTCACCAGTACAATGATAATACAGAATTCTATTCCATTAAACATTTAAAATAGATCGTGTTTTGTGACGAAAGCCTTCATGCATAATTCTTCATATACTACGTGTAGTACATTGTGTACAGATTGTGTACAAGAAATATTTTTTAGTTTAGCATCACATTAATTTTCTCTGATAACCTTGGGTTTGTTATATTTAAATTGTACCGCTCTATAAATAAGGTTTAAAAACATTCAGAACGTTTCATTTGAACTTTAACACTAAAAACAGAAATTGCTAATAACGATGACCCATTTAACTTAAAAAGCTTTGTATTGTAGATGGAGACAGCTCCTTCTTAACTTTCCTTCCTTACTATCAGATATTTGAAAAAGATTAAATCCACCTGTACCTGAGTAAATCCAGGCTTTATATTAGGCTAAAAAATATGTCTTAATTACATAATTACCAAGGCATACTGAGCCTCTTTGTGCTCTTCAGGGATGAAAAGAAGCCCAATTACCTTGAACTTTAAATATATGGGATCAGTAGCAGGATTAAATCAATATTATGGTCCAATCTAAGGTAATGCTCCAGTAACAAAGCACAGAGTAATGGAAAAATCAAAGCACTCCTGTGTTTGGACTCTCCAACATTACTCATCTACCCTCCTGAATGGAGTCTTATCTCGTCATGAAAACAGCACAGAGAAAAGTAATTGCCATGGCAACAGGTCACCTTGAGTTAGAGTAGCTTATCATTACCTAAGTTTGCTTTAGGTGAGTGATGCTGGAGATTTTAAGATGTGTTAAAACCAAACCTGACAAAAAAGTTTGACAGTAGATTTGATCCAAAGCATAACTAAATGCCACTCGGTGCAGTCTCTTTTCTGCTGTGTATTTGTGTCAGTCACCAGCTGACATGTGACCCAAACACCAGAAGGATATTCCTCCAGGATGCTGCAGCAGATGACTGACCTCCATATGACAAGATCAGAGGAGGAGGCTTTGATCAGCGACCAGATCGTCTTTTTCATCTCCTGTGCCGCCTGTTTCTTTCCTTTCTACCTCCTCTTTTGCCATCCCATGTTTCTACCTTAAAAGAAAAGTTAAACAATGTGGGAAATATGCTTTTTTGTCAAGATTTAGATATGATACCACTTCCACATCTGTGCTAAGGTGACCAGATTTCTCAAATGAAAACCGGGGACATTTTTGGTTTGGTGGTCAGTATGTCATCAAAAAATATAATGTTATTATATATGAAATAAAAAAGGGGGATTTCGGTTTTATAATCTGTCAAATATAACTCTTCTGAATTAAATCAAGTCATTTTGAGGCAGAAACTACCTTTCAGTCAATAAGTAGAGGCTGAAATCACTTTCTGGCAAATAAACTGCATTTTATGTGTTGTTTTGGCCATTTAAAGGTATTTTAAGAGGTAAAAAGTAGGCCTACTAGTTGAGTTATATTCTGTCAAATATAACTTCTGAATGAAATCAAGTCACCAAAACTGGGGACTGTCCCCGGAAAACTGGGACGTCTGGTCACCCTGATCTGTGCTGTAAAAATGAAGCTACAGCCAGCAGTCAGGTAGTTTAGCTTAGCATAAAGACTAGAAACAAGAGGAAAAGGCTAGCCTTTCCCTACCCAAAGGTACCAAAATCCATCTACAAGCACTTCGAAAGCTCACTCAGTAACATGTTATCTCTTGCTTGTTTAAGCAAACCTTTTGTATCCTGTACCAAAAAAGAGGAATCTGCACCTGGACACACATAACCCCGCAACTTGTCATTTTTACACTCGCTTACACAGCTTTAGAAGTGCTGGTAGGCAGATTTTGTTACCTTCGGAGAGAGCCAAGCCAGCCTTTTCCTCATTTTCAATCTTTATGCCAGGCTAAGCTAACTGGCTAACCATGTCATGTCATGGCTGTACAGAATACTTACCTTACATACATGACAGTGGTATACATTTTCTCATCTAACTTGGTAAGAAATTAAATAAAGTTTTTCCTAAAATGTGAAACTGTTCCTTAAAAAGTACTAAAAGTACTACTACCCTTTACAAAGCAGGCTTGGAGAGAAAGATAAAGGCTCTACAAAGAAGAGGCATACAAGCATGTTCATCCAAAAAGGCTCTTTAATTGGTCTAAGTGATTAACTACAGGGTGAGGGAACCAGGTAATATAGATACTAGAATAGCTTTCAATTACCTCATTTAAAATTCATCATTTAACAGTTAGAGGGGATGGGGAAAAGAGGGATGATGAGGGAATATAAAAGAGTGGAAAAGAGAAAGTGATGAAAATCTTAATATAGGCCAACTGATAGAGTTAATACAGTAATAACAAGTATTCCAGTAAATCAGCAACAGCTTTACAAAAAGTAAAACTCAGAATGTGCCAGAAGTGTGATTAGAAAATTTTAAGAGTGACTATAAATTCCTATCATATGTAGAATACATGAATATGACACTAACCAGTCTCAAATAACACATTTTCTCTATATCGATATAGTATTTAGATGCAGAATTTATTTATTGTGAGGCCTTGTGTGATGTGCTGTACTGCGGCCTCATACTGAGACCCAGTGAGGAACAAAAATCCATGGTTTAAGACACCTAGTGCTGGTCAGTGCTGTCCCAGTACTTCATCATTTTGATTGTGTTCAAATGGACTGCTTTTCACAAAGTCGCCGCTTCCTCTGACTCATCACTAAATGAAGACTTGAAGGGCTTAGCTCCACAAAAACATTATACATCTTTAAAGAAGTTACCTGAAATTCTTTAACAGATGTCTCAAAATGATTATTTGATTCTATAAAACTGCTGCTTTTTATGAATCAAAATGGTATAATATTTAATTTTTGAATAAAACTCTTCATGTGTACATCGCAGCTGTCTTCATAAATCTTGCTACAGTGGCTGCTTGTTTTTGGCGGCTGTATTTGAAGAGACAATCCCTTATTCCTCCACCATTTCTCACCAACTGTAAACAGTTCATCTACTCGGCAACAACCAAGACATGTATCCCAACCCTCCACAATATAATATACATGACACACACACAGCATGAAAACTCTGGTTATAGTTTAACCATGCGCCAACACTGTGGACTGCTGTAAATCTTAGTGCACATTAAAGCACAGAAAGCACACAAGCGTTGTCGTAGTAAAGTAGCAAGTGAGAAAAACCTGCCAACTTCAGCTTTCCACCGCTTTCTCGAGGATAGATCGGTAACAGTGCAGTCTTCTTATCTTACTGCAGCATACATCAAATCCTAACATCTGTAAAATGTACAGAACCAAACTTCTATTCTTTACCACACAAAGTCACATAGAAAATCCACAATTACTTCAAGTCACAACTCCCCCCTCTTACATTAATCTAACTACTACTCCCTCTCCACAGTCTTGTCTTCTGTTTCTCCACAGTATCCATTTTATCCTACAGTCGGTCCTTTTGGTTTCCCATCAGACCTCAGACTCCAGACTGGACACCCGTCGCCATGGACGAAGTACGCAGGGGCTCCCCGTGGGTTGGCCCCCTGCTCCCTGACCCACCTGGACCTCTGATCCAGTCTGGGATCCCTGATAGACCCCATAGGCCCCATACACGCTGTCCTGGTATAGCAGAGCCCGCTGGCTTCCACATCTCCCACCACCACAAGCCAGCAGCTGGCACACTGGGCTGGGGCTCGGGTGGTTGCTGGAGGCCTGGATGTGGTGCTGCAGATCTAGGGGGCCATGGTAGAGTGGTAGTCCAGGGTACGAGTTCAGGTAGTGAGTGTACTGTCTGCTGAGCAAACTGGTGGCTCTCCGTACCATCCCCCTCCCTAACCCAGTCCCATGTCGTACTGCCTCTCCATACGTGGGGAGGTGCGTGGAGTGGGAGTAGCGCAGCCTCTGGCCCTTACGCCCATTGGGTCTCCTCTGGTCCTCCCTTATGTGGAGGTAGGTCTGGTTCCGTGGGAGGCACAGGTTGTTTCGAAGGTGGGCAGGATTGTAGGCCTTTGCAGGTGTGGTCGGTGTAAGAATGCATGGGAACAGGTCTGGCAAGGTGGAAGGTGACTGGCTGGACAGGGATGACTGGGACTCGTCAAGCTGGCGCATCTGCTCGTTGCCCCAAGTTGCTTTAAGGAAAGAGGGTCGGCGGTGCCTGCGTCTCCCTCTCAGTGCGAGATCCTCCGGGGGCCAAGAGCTGTAGTTCTCTACCCGAGGACACATTACCTCCCCTGAGTAGATGCTGTCAACGCTGGCGGCGGAGATGTGGTTGTCTTGGAGGTGGTTGGCTTTGAGCTCACTCAGACAGACAGGACTTTTGTCATTCTTTTCCTGATCCCTGTGTTTTCTCCTCTCTACCTCCCCATCCTCACACTGGAAACTCTTGGACCTCCGTTTCCGTCGGGAGAAGCCTGCCTGGACGTGCTGGTTTTGAGGCGAGGACACCGGGTGAGAGGCGTAGATGTCAGGTAGTTGGAGATCAGTGTAAGGGATGAAGGGAGAGTGAGCATGGGTGTCTACGTAGAGTCTCCCAGTGGTCTGGTAGTGGTGCGGGTGCTGATGAGGGAGTGGCTCACCCACAGCCAGGTGTGGGCTGCTGAGGCTGGACACAGGTAGTGGCCGGTCATACAGACATGAAGAAGAGTGAGTCGGAAGCGTGTAGCGCAGTGGCGTGGGCCTGGTCACACCCCTCTGTTGTTTCAGAGGTGGGGTTAGGGAGCGCTGGGGAAGGGAGCAGTGATTCTCTGTAATATAAGCAAATCCTCCTGGTACGGCCTCTGTGGCGACTTGTGGAATACGAACAGGCAAGCTACCGCCATGTCGACTCAACTGCTCTATGGTCTTGGTGGCGTTGTCCAGTGACGTCTCAACATTGGCAGTGGAGACCAGGTCCTTGGCGGTGCGAAGCATCTTCAGCATATTTGCTTGAGCGTAGTTGGAGGTCAGGTCAGGTTTGGCCAAACCAGAAGAACGCCCGGGGTCCTCCACTCCATTGAAACAACTGTAAATACCCTGAGAGATGAAAGAGAGTGACAAGGAATGAAAAAGATAAAGAAAGAATGAAGAGAGAACAGTGAGAAAAGAGAAAGTGGTAAAAGAGGCAGGGGAAAATAGAAGTAGAGAATAAATCACGTAATCATTTGCAATTAAATCAATAGCTAGCCACAAACTGTTTAACCTTGAATCAACCTGGTGGTCCTAAGGGGACAATTTCACAGACGGGATTTCAACCAATTTGTGCATCTCAAAGTGACAATCCACCTCCTAACTAATAAAAATCCCACTGGCAGTAAAATAAAAAAAACTTATTTCATTAATATCTCATTTTATCACTGAGGCAAGACTTAGTCACAAATTCATTATGCATTCTCCCAGGACTCAAAGAAAAACAGTTTAAGCTGAGAGGATTGCCCCAATAAATGCAAATGGGCACACGTACACTTAATGTCCCCTACAGAACAAACAGTCTCTAACTGCATGGACAAACACAGAGCCAAATCCCATGACTGCTCTCTGCTTACAGTTGGCTGAGACATCCTGAAAGAGACAAATTTAATTTGGCCCTTGGGGCTGCCCCATACGGATTAATGATCAGATAGTCATTTAGCCGTTAATCTGATAAAACCCGGATCCAGGCACAATGGTGTAATTACACGGCAGAGGAGAACAGAGGCTGGAGTCCATAGACATTTCCTTGGCTGTAACTTCAGCCAGAGCTTTTTGCCTCAATAACCACATTCCCAAACAATGGCATCACCAGGTAATGATTAGGCTAATTGCAATTTTAGTTTAAAAACTTGAAGCAATCAAAGTTAAATGCTGAGTAAACACCAGAATTTGTGCTGTTTTTCTTTCCTTTTAGCTCTCCTCTCTCCCCTCCCCAATCATTCTTAATAAGAATGCAGTGCCATTTTAGCTAATATTTTAACAAGGCCCTCCAACGATACCATGTAATTACATGCAAATACACATCCATTTGCACAAATTTATCATCACATAAAACCCACTTCATGTAAAACAGCATATTACACAGGAAAAGCAACCAACAAACCACTTAAGAGTCAAAATAATCAACCAGCCAATATTTCAATCATTCAACCAAGCTGTTACTCAACTAATCCAATTACAGTCAGCCAATCAGTCACTTAACTAAATAATCAATGTAAAAATCAGTGAAGCAACATCCCTACCCCACTTTCTTAAACCAAGCAATCAGCAATTAAACCAGCAGAGGATCCATAAACAACAACTAATCAATCTACAGACTAATTTGGAAATCTCACCCTACTGATGGCCAACAAGAAGTCAAGTTTCTGAGACTTGTGGAGGGAGTGTCGTAGTTTCCAATAAAGCAGGTGTTCCCAGGCAAAGACAAGCAGGCTGAGGCCCATGGCCACTAGGAGCATATAGAAGACGCCTGCCATGTTGTCAATGTCCAGCTTGCTGCTCATCACTTCATTCTTCTCGTTCTGGCAGATGCCTGACAACCACACCGTCTCCAAGCGCTGGGTGTCTCCTGGATGACGGATGTTTATAGGAGAAAGGGGGGGAGGGGAGAAAGAGAGACTATGACGTGACTTGACAGAGTGAAAAAGACAAATAGATATGATATCTTATAATAACCCGAAGATAACCATGTATGCATGACCATCTCTGTTATTTTAATAGGATTTGAAATGATTATCAGGGTAAAGTGCTGGTTATGAACTGGAGTGTGGGACTTCTAAATGAAAGTTCTACACTGCAGATGTAAATAACATCGGGATGTTTGATGCCAATGTCTTTGCAGTGGCTCTAGTTTAAGACCTACAGACATCCGCAGACATGGTATCTTTGTGGATAATGCTCTGCCAGTCTCTACTACAGACATCTTCACTTCCTTCATGGGCTTTTGGACCATTCATACTGTGTCATATGGGTTCCAGTTAATGACTTGTGCCAATCATATCAACATCCAAGTCATAATTATGACCAATGTATATATACTGCGTTTATATTTTATAGTCATGGCATTATTCTTTTTAAATCCAGTAATGCACCAAGCCAAAACAATGAAATCATATCACCTCTCTTGTACTTTCTGGCTGCAGTATGCATGCATTTATGCTTTGAGGTTGTAAATGCATTTCAGCATGCCAACAATGCACCTTTGGAATGAGAAGATTTTACAGTGCTTAAACACATCAACATTAGCTGTCATTACTACAGAAACTACTCCTCCAGGTCCCTGAACAGGTGGTCACCTCTTGATCTGCCTTCTCCTCAGTGGCCTCCAGGGAGCATGGCCCATTTTTATCACTCAGTTGTCAGTATGTTGACCACAAACACACTATTTCTTACATCATTATGGAAAGCTCAGAGTGTGTGTGTGTGTGTGTGTGTGTGTGATGTGTAGGGGTGCTCTCTTAAGCTCTCAGAGGAGGGAGGATATTAACTCCACACCGGCGGCTGTCATAGTGGGTGTGTTTGTGTGTATATAGGTAGGAAGGATATGTTTGTGTGTGAGTGTGTAATGGAGATAATCATATCCCTAACACTCCCTGCTGTTCTGCAGGATATTAACTCTTCCCTGTAAGCCCACTTCCCTGCTGACACAGCACACACTGAACTGGACTGGTGCCACTTCCGTGGTTCACATACAGTGTGGCACACTGAGACAGAAATAAACATAGGGAAAACAGAGGAAAGTGTAATGGTTTGTGTGTGAATGTTGCGTACGATATCATGTAAGGTTTGAGTGCCCACCGTCTCCGAGGAACTGCAGCAGGGCCAGGTCAATAGGCCGTTTCCAGCTGGAGTCCTTCTGCAAAGCGATGCCATACCCTGTGGTGGCAAACACTTTCCCACTGCCGATAGTCACCAGCTTGCAGCCTTCATCTTTCCCGGCCATGTAGTTCAAAACAGCAGCGTCGTAGATGAAGGCATCCAGCTTCCTGCATGCAAATAGATCATCTTCGTCTGAGAGAATTTCAGCTCTTATAAAGTTCAGTAAGATATACCTACGGTACAAGTTATGATTCTCTATGTTTGTATTATAGAATCCTGAAGTACCAGTGGTTTTACATGTTTTAGCCCATTTAATACAAACGGTGTATACTTCACATTATTGCCAACAACTTTCAAAAGCATCCCATAGGTTTTAGATTGATCAATTGCTTTCAGTTTATTGAGGCAAAGTTGCTAAAATGTGCACAATGACAACAGACAACAAAATTATGTTCAGCGGGTTACCATGTTTATCATGTTCACCATCTTAGTTTAGAATATTAGCATGCCTATATTTGCTATTTAGCAAAAACGGTATCAAAATTTCCGTCTTGTGGATGTAGAGATATTTTAATAGATAAGTAAAAAGTTAAAACTTTGACCTGCTGGTGGCATTAGATTAAAAGTCAGAAGTCCTTAGGATTCATCCTCTGGTGGCAATGATATCTTCACCAAACTGTATGGCAATCAATCAAATAGTTGCTAAGATATTTCTGTCTGGATCAACTGACTGATGTTGCCACCCTGAAAGTCACTCACACTGCTAGCGTGGCAAAAGAAATACTGTAAAGGTGACATAATATTAACACAGATGAATAAACTATTCAAGAAATGTTTCTCTTTACTTGTGCCATTCCCCAGTGGCACAAGACAAATTGTAGATAATGGGCCCAATATGTGCAAAATCACTTCAAGTGTTTTGAGCTTGGTCTTTGTGAAGACTGGATATTTGACAGCACTTTTCTATACAAATTAAGTTGCACTAGACGTGATTCTTTCATCTAAAACTACCCCATCACTTTGGCCTAATTCACAAATAGGTGCTAAACACAAAAAGCATAAAATCTATGATGTATAATCCAAATTATGATCATCATTATTGTGTGTCTTATGTCTTCACTCGCATGAGAATCTGTTAAATTTAACCTAATTGTTTAATATA